GGTCGAGGAAAATCTTGAAAATTCTCGAATACGTGCAATGATTAATTTCATATTGCATATCGTATTGTTTGTATGTGTGTTGATGCTATTTATATATGCTGACGGAACAAATAGTATGCAAAAACCTGTTGCATTATTAATTTATACTCTATTCATGGTGTTTACGAGTACTAAGTTAACAAAATCAAATTTAAAACGAAAGCTACATGAAAAGAATTAAATTTTAATCTTCATGAAGGACAAGGAAGAATCACATTTCTGTACATCGCAATTTTGCAAACGAGTATCCTTAAAATATCCTACCTTTATTGGAAACACTTAAACAATCTTAAAAATACTATATTCGTGGTGTTTGCAAACGCTAAATTAACAAAATTGAATTCGTTGATACCCTTAGATCAAATCGTAAATCAAATCGCTGAATCGTCGATTCTCCTAAATCAAAAATTTTTGGAAAAAGAATCTTCGCACAGAAAAATGTTATTTTTCATGCAAAACATGCAAACTTTATTCGAAACACTTTAAAAAAATTCCAGACACTTTTTCACACTTTGTGATTGTCGTACTGAGAGCCGATCTCTCGGTATTGTAAATCGAGAGTTTGTTTAAGCGTTGAGTGCGATACGGGACTGCGTGAAGGCACTTGGGACATAGACCAGACGGCGGGTCATAAAAATGGGAAAATACCCATCGCCGGCGAAAACTATGCCTGCAGTCAGTCACAGTCGAAACATAGTACGATACACACCCTCTCCTTTAACCGTAGTTTTATATATCCTCGACCGCTCCGCCTTTTTGCTAAGCTTAAGATTCCTACAGTGATAATAAAAATTAATTTAAAAAACATTAAATTTAAAACCGTAAGACTTTGTGATAGTAAAAATTAATTTAAGAAACTTGTAAAACTTAAAAAATCCTCAAATTTAGTACTGAAAATTTCAGAGCGTAGGTTTTAAATTCCATCGTTGGTCAGTTTCTACGTTAGAAACGATACAAGAGTGTATTCGAAGCCGCCTGACTTATTGCCACCATCGATGCGCCTCAGGAGTGGATTTTTAGGGTGCACGCGAGGTCTCATATCGCGGGCAGATGGCTCGGCCGTTTTTACAACCAATAACGGATTCCCTTCGCAGATGTATATCTATACCATCTATCAATACGCTCTGAATGTCCTTGATTTCATCTCAAGACCGGCTTCGGAGAAAAATATCGCTTCAGACTTCGCTACGTTCTTTGTCCTGGTGCATGTATGTGCGGTACAACGTTGGAAACGTCGGATAGCGAAGGTAGACAGGAAGTCGAGACGTCGGTGTTACATAATTTGTTGCAGAGTCAATACTGTCCGGGGCAAATAAGACGAGCGAAGAATTGACGTTGATGGAGACGGGAGCGGCGTTGAAGGAAAGAAATTGCATGGAAATTAGTCGTGACACTGTGATGTGTTAATATATCCTCGTTTAAAAAGGAACTACTTACAAAGTTCGTTTTTAGAATTCTTCGTGACAAATTGTCTTGGTAAATGTTTCAGGTGAGAGACGTATTTCAGATTTGAACCGTTTTCTTTTTTGAAAGTGGTATAAGTCGATTTTTGGAAAAAATGAGTTAATGGTAGCTTTAGTCAGATATTAAAAAAAAAAGTGGACTTATACTTTCAAAAACAACGGCTCATTTGTTGGAAGAAGTTTCGTTACATTGGAGAACTATTGATTATTTCTTGTAGGAAATTGGTGCGGATGTAAGTCGGATATTTGGATAGAAAATTCTTCTTGTTTCTGGCGAATTTGGAAATAAATAATGTTATTAGTTGTGGTGAAATTAATTTGAATTTACTATTTTTGCTGTTTTCGTTTAAGTAATTTGAATTTATTATTGTCGTATATTATGTGAAATTTCTTAGTTCATTTCTTGTAGAAAAAAGATTCAGATGTAAGTCGGATATTTGGATAGAAAATTCTTCTTGTTTCTGATAAATTTGGAAATAAATAATGTTATTAGTTGTGGTGAAATTAATTTGAATTTAATATTTTTGCTGTTTCGATTTAATATTGTCATGTATTATATGAAACTTCTTGCAGTTTAGACTTAGTTCGTTTCTTGTAGGAAAAGGTTTCAGACGTAAAGTCGGATATTTGGACAGAAAATTGTTCTTTCCGTGAAAAAAGTATATCGCCATCAATCCCAGTAAAATTAATTTAGATATAATATTCTTGCATTTCCAATTGAATTAATTAATATCCTTGCAGTTTCGCCTTAATTAATTTCAATTTAATATTGTCGTGCATTACGCGAAATTTCCTGCTGTTTCGTGTTAGTTCTTCTTAAAATTATCGTATAGAAGAACGCTAATGGGTAATTTAAAATGAAAGCCCAAAATATACTGAAAATCCACCGCGTTAAACCGGGAATAAAAGTTGGGATGTTACTTAATCGCAAAAGTTGCTTCGTAAATCCCCCTCTAACCCTCTTACGTTTTCTTCCTTTTTTCGCTACATAATTACTGACCGTGTTATTCCATAATTCACCCCACCATCCGGTGTCTCTTTGATCCTTCGTTATTAAACTGACATGTGGAAAAAAATATCTAAAAGTTCCTGATAATATTCTAACTTAATTTTGCTCCGCGAAAAATCGGGTTGGTAGAAAAATTTACAAACGTTACAACAAAATGAGGAAGAGAATCGCAGAGTCAGGTCTGTTTGATCCTTTATCGTTAAATTTGCACTTGTAGAACAATGTATGCAAAAATTCCTGATAATTTTATAATTTAACTTCCTCCAGAAAAAGCCACGCACGTAAAAAATTTATAAAAATTAAAATAACAGAAGGGGGAAAATCTCAGGACTCTCTGATCCTTTATCGTTAAATTTGCATATGCAGAAAAATGTGTGTAAAAATTGCTGATAACTTGACAATTTAATTTCCTCCACAAACAATCGCGTGCATAAGAAATGAAAGAAAAATTAGAATAATGAAAGGAAGAAAATCTCGCGGTAACAGAGCGCGTGGTTAGAGTAGTAGAAGAACGAGGCAAATC